CGTTTACGCACTACATCCGAATCGTATTCGTTCGGAATCCGAGACTATACAAATCTAGAAAAGTCGGACCCACTTCGGATGTCGCTTGTGCACTAAGTCCCATTCGAATCCGAGAAAGTACGAATACGGCTGTACACCTAGATAAAATTACACTTCGGACATCTGTGAAATTTCGAACCGTCATTTTTCGGATTCGGAACTGTAATCGGATGTAGTGCGCATAACACAATTTAAAAAATGCATTAGTTTTATATACCTATCTCCTACTCCATACACTTTTGTATATATTACAACTTTAAGAGATGTTTTCAATTTAAGTACAGGGAGTTACAAAAAGGGGTGGAATGATTTGTTCTTTTCACACGAAATGTATGGAGTGTAAATTTAAGCAAAATGCTTACCGAGAACATTGCAGTCACCCATTAGGTTATTATACTTTGTACTAATGTCTTTTTGTAACACTTTGTCGCATGTATAAGGAATTATTACGATCACTATTATCTAGCGTTCTAATAGAAATCTTATTAGTGTAAATTATTGCGCGTGGTGTTTATTGTATCTTTTCAACGCTTAGTAATTACAGGCTATAAGCGTTCACTAAGGCAGTATTATTTCATTGATATTTATATGCGGTAGGTATATTTTAATTATAGTTCATTACTATGGTTACCTTCGATGTGTATTTACATTAACGTTTGTGACTTAATTATGGAGAGAAGTTAGTATTGATAGCTTTTATACGACAGTAGTAAAAGTATGGTATAATATTTTTGTTGTAAATTATATAATATTTATAAATTAAAAAAGGAACATGGACAAACATAAGGAACACGCATAAGAATAAAATTATCGAGTTAGTAAAATCTGCACATCAAGTAATTTTGCCTTAATTATACAGATATTTAATATTGTAATGTAATTGTAGGTTATAGGAATCTTTAAATAAGTTTATTCGATGGTGCGCTTACATAGGTAACGTGAATTTAGCACTGGAAACCAATTAGTGATATCTACGAAAAAAAAGAGGTTCAGATTGGATTGGAGAGTGTGAAAACTTGTGGCATTATTTCGAGTGCACAAGTATATGAATGATTTATTAACTATGATACATCCCCTTAGATCTATTTGTCTCGTACTTAATGTATAATCACTAGACAATTATTTTAGAATTTCGTTTCGAAGAGACGAAGCTGTGGCTACGTCTTAGATCATACCTACGTCCAAACATTCTACCGGCAATCCTAATTAACTTAATTTCTAATCCTTAATACCATATATTTTTATTTTATAATTAGTAGTTATTAAATTGCAATAAAATAAAAAGTGATCAAGTACACAAATACAAAGTGCTATTATCGGAGTGCAATTGAATATAATTGAAAGTATGTACGTAAATATAATCTACATAAAAATGTATTTTATCGTACTTTACTTGTTTATGACATCTAAAACATAATTTATACACATTCTACTCTTTATTTATACAGAGTTATATTTATTTTCGTTTTGTAGTTGAGTAGGCCAGTGCCATGGTGCTATATTGTTGTCAATCATTACAAAAGTAGCATGAACAGGAATGTGTAATATTTATTCAAATGTTGAGTATATAAATACAATTGAAAATATCGTTGTCATGCGACTGTTCCAATGATTTAACTTGTTTATGTTTATAAATTTACTGTTCCAATGATTAACAATTGAAATATATATTTTCGGTCCTTTTTCTGTTTGGGTTTGTTACATGTACTCTACGGTAATTTAAGGTGAACAAACTATCGAAAGTTAAGGCTTAACTAAACGTGTACCTGGAGAGTATTTACTAAAACTTAACACGCTGACAGGCATCGCGCCTCCAATGTCCCCTGAACATTAGTAAGGTGCTCTTCTTACAAAAGTTTCTGAGTAATTGTTAACTTCTGAGCAAAGAATTGAAAAAATAATCAATATTTACGTAACATAATTTATTGAAATTGGTGTTAACAACTGAGGCGGTTTCTTAAGCAGGCTTGTATTCTAGACGCTTGTATTCAATAGGGACTGTGAACGTGTTAAGAAAATGAATTATATATGAGACAATGCCATTAGATCGGAGATGATTTTAGGAGGTAACTTTCTCAGTTAGTAACACATTCTGCTTTCAACATTACAATTACTTTGTTTAAAAAATTAAATAGACTTACTGTGTTCATTTAAAATCATTTTGTCAATGAAGCCATCTAGTCGTAGCTGATGACAGGAGCCCTGCTTGTCAGATATTTGAGGGTATTCTGGTTGTTAAGGAAGGAAGAGAGTGTGGACATCTACACATTTATGCAAAACTTACATTAATGTGTTGAATACCAGAGACAACTTCCAACCAAAGCAACAGTGTTCCAATGCTCAATATGCCGTCCAACTACAAAGGGCCCATGTGATAAGTCTCGGTCGCCAGGCTTATCCTTAGCACAGTATCAGGTTGTCAAGTATTCATTGCTTACATTGAATATGTTAATAAGAATGGAAACCAACACCTTCCCATGGCCCCGAAATTTTCACGAAAAGTACCTACTAGCGAGCAAAAGAAGCTAACTTTCTAAATAGAGCTAATTCAGGAAAGCATACCATGAACTACTGTGCGACTAGTCTACTAATGTAAGGAAATATAAAATATTAAATCATAAATGAAAAACGTAATAACCACGTTCCGATGTCTTAGAAGCCTGAATAAAAATTTTATAGTGATTGAATACCTCACTTTAAATCACGTTGTCTATATTATGTTATGAATAAGAACTTCATAGGGCATTTCTATTGAAATAGATAAGAAAATTTTATGAAATAATTCAAAGCAGTAAATAATAGTTGTATATTTTGGTATTTAACTCGGAAAACAGAAGGTCAAACACAAAATTTGCGATTCTACGGAACTATCCTGAATAATTTGCAATATTCAGTATCCTGAATAATTATTAATTAATAAGTGAGTACCCATCACTATGTACTGTCTTTCAACCTGGAAGACAGCACTGCCGCTTTGCTGTAGCAATAGGCAAGTTGCGTAACCAGGCGGGATCTGCGCAGACAGAGAACCCTTTCGCCAGTAAAATATGAAATGCAATATCATTGACAGTTACGTGAACAGCCGATAAACTCAGTATTGTAATTGTTTTTGAAACTGATTGAGTAGTGAAATAGAAGTCCTACGAAGTATGCCAATTAATAAAGATATCGTTAAACTAGGGCGTTCAATCTCTATAGAACTGTTATTTAAACATCGATAATAAAGGTGTTTGACAATAATACAGTTTTTTACAATACTAATAACTTTCAGTTTTCAATATTACATTGGCATTTAGGTAACTGACGACCACATACTAAGCTATTGAAAATGCCTTTGTAAAACTTGACGTAAATACAGTTCAATATTAAATGGGGATATTTGACAGCTAGATTTACAGTTGTGAGGTCAGTCATGGGTACATTGATTACTTTGACAATTATTATTATACTTAAAGCTTGATTGAGCACACGACATCAAAAAAGTATTAGGTTTATTGTTTGAATATGCTTGACCAAGTAAAAAAACCTAACTTGCTATGTCTTATTTGATGCAAAACGAAATAGCAACTCTGTTTAAAATAAAGTATTTGAGTTATTAGAAAATAAACCTCTTTTAACTTCTTAACGTACGATGTCGAAATTTGAAATATTAAATAAAATGACATGTGCTATCCAAGCGTATTATAAACCGATTTTTTCACGAGACTATGTCTTTAGTGCATAATGAAATGTAAACAGTCACTTTAAGAAAGGTTTGATTATCAATCAATGTTTTTTAAAAATTCTTTTATTTTTGGGTGAGACAACGGTTTCGTTAACCTATGATGTAAGTATATCATAACTTTCTACGTAGCTAGCTGTCACTAAAATATATTGTATTTAATTCCATAATTGCTAAAATGTCTCCCTATATGAAATTACCTAACAGATATTTCGATTAAAATCGATTAATACGTACAAGGTACATGTTTGGAGTTAAAGTTATTTTTCTTCTAACGTGCTTGCCACTAGTGGAATGGCAGTAACGAGATTTAAAAAAAATGGGAAATGGTGGTATTCCATTTTACGCTAGCGCACTAAATGCAATTGATTTCTGACATGGCGTTTGTACTACTCATGAATGTTATTATTGTGCCTTATATTATAATATTTAATAAACTAATTATATCCATAAGTCCATTGTCAAAAAGTCGGCATGCATATATTAATCGAAAGCAAATTTAATTTTTAAACATTCACGAATCATTTACAAGTTACAACATAAAACTAATATTGAAATAAAATCATACAGGGTAATTAGAATGGTCTGCAACTACAGTCAAACAAAATAGGTACCTAAATATAATATTCTAACAGTAGATAATTAGCAAAGAATAAACAAATTGCTATCATTATAACAAATACAAAATTCTACTAAAACTAATCGTTTAAATCAAGCAGAAAAAGTTGAGCATTAGGTTCCAATTACAATTAGATAATATTACTACTCCACTCATTTTACCACACTAATAATAATTTGAAACTTTAAATTTGCGTGTAAAATATTTGAAAATCATTTACCGCACATCGATATTTTAGGAACTTTTACACTAGCTTCAAAATTTTTGGGCAATAAACGTATTAATATAAGTATACCAAAATAACGTACTTTCAAACGTAACGCATATCTGATCCTCATACAAAACGCTGACTCTAACATTGCTACGAAATCAATTATATTCCGATGGGATCAAATATCATCTCCATGCAGAATATAATACATACTAGTAGGCTTTTGGACTAGAACCTATTTTATACTACTTAATCAAAAAACAACACTGTTACTTTCACGTTAATTTTGTTCTAGGTTCATCATTGGCCTCTACGTCTTAACCGACGATTGAAACAGGGTTATTGTATAAGATAAGAAGTCCACCATGTGACACCTAAATGACAAAATTTTCAGTCGTTTGGTTTCTACTTCAGACTCCAAGAAGAATTTATCTTAGGTTTATACTTTCCTAATTATTCGTATTTTTCATGTTACTAATATATTTACATTTTCATACGATATTTTTAGTATATGTATAAAGTTAACACCTAGGCGTTATGTTATATCTACAAATTCTTTTTTGGAAATAATTAGCTAGTCATAAAATCTACAAATTACCGTGACGCTACCGATTCCTACATCGTTCGACATTTACACAATAGCAAGTTTTGGTTAATTTGCTTACTTTAATTGGATGACTTGTTTTGTTTCAAATTATTATCGAGGTATATTGGGTGGAAAAATAAGTGGATTTTAATCAGCGCCCTCTATTTATCTTCTTCCAGAAGAACCAAATCGTCAGCCACGACGTCGGATACGTGAAGGTATATGATCCAGTACATCAGGTTAAAGCATACGAAACACACCGGGAATACGATGCGCGAATACTTGTCTATATCCGACGGCGTCATGCCCAGTAGTTTGCTGATGTCCTGCAAATGAAAAGTATCTTTTTTACTTTTGTGGAGAACACACACGTAACCTACAAAAACAGTGAAGTAAATAACAGAGAAGATAATCTATATTCCTAAGGAGTCTTTCAGTTATGGCATAAGATTTTAAATTATATTTCGCATTGTTCATGAATATATCCAACTTAACAACAAATATATTCATTATAATATTTTTTACTTTAACTGACTCTGTGACCGAACGGTTATCATGCCGGACTGCCACGCGGAGGTCCCAGGTTAGATTCCTGGGCCGGGAGAAATATTTGTGTGGCCTACATTTATTTCTCTCGTGAGTTTGGGTGTAATTTGTGGTTGTCTATGTCTGCGTCCATGCCACCCGCGACACGGTTTCCCTAGTGCGGGGCTATGTTGAGTGTGTGCGTTATTCTTATTTCGTACTGTCGTAGAAAGCAACATAAGGAGCTGATTACTATTATAATGAATAATAACATTTCGAACAGCAAAGGCTTAGCTGAGAGAACGCATGCCAGGAGGCAAGCATTCAATATACGAATGTCGCCTCCAGCAAAACCCTCAAGAGTTTAATTCCCACCAGAGGGCTAAACAAATGAGTCTTAGCGAATCAAGTTTAGTTTACTAATTAGAACTTGCTTAAAGTGGTTTAAATTATCTTAGCTTAAAGTTATCTATCCCACTATAATATTTTGTTTTAAGTAATGATAAATAGTTTTTGAGTCGCACAGCATATTTATACAAAATTTTACGCAGTGAACATTTTTCGCAAAGCAGCGCATTTGGAAATTTAATAATGTAAATATACTTGTTAAGAGTAATAAGATATTTATTTACCTTGCCAGGATGAAGTATGTGGGGAGGTGGTCCTGGGTTCTCGTCGTCGCCTCCACTTCGTCCTCCATTTATAGTATTTTCTAACGTGCCGCCTTTCGAATGTGCTTTAGGGTCGTGGACTTTAAATCTCACCTCCTGGAAAAACATCGGAAACCATTTGAAACCGCAGGCAGATAACTGTCTAAATGATTAAATGCAATAAAAAAATAGCAAATGTAATTACCGAACAGCTTACCGAAGGCCTTCCCGGCGGACATCTCCCTAGAGTTCCCATTTTTGACAGAGTGTGCGGATCTCCTACTGGGCAGTCGACTGGTGGCAATTTCTTTTCGGACGCAATTTTCTGAATAGCCACAAATCTTTGCTTTCTCATCTGTATTCGTTTAGCCATATACCCCACAGTCGCGTATTCTGTAAAGATAGGAGAAAGTATTTGACATCGAAAATAATTATAGTCCAATAAGGTGCATTGCTAAAATTCAAATGGACTCGCTTTGCATAACTGTACAACATATAACTCGCCGGTGCACATAATATTTCATTAAAATAATAGATAAATCGCAATGCAGTACTATATGATTGAAACAAAAAGCCACATTACCTAATAGACTGGCGAAGACCATTACGAAGCAGGTGCCGAGATAGACGTCGATAGATTTGACGTATGAGATCTTCGGCAGAGCAGCGTTCGTGGACGACATAAGCGTGGTCATGGTCAACACGGTGGTGACACCCAAGGCTACTCTAGCCGGTGTTGCATTCCGATTCAACCAAAACGACACCCAGGATATGATTACAATCAGACCAGAAGGAATGTAGATCTGAATGAGATAGTACCCCATGGAGCGGACAAATTGTATTTCACATGCCAGTCTTGAATAGTTTCCTGAAAAATATCCGTAAGGATCGCTGAGAATATATTAGATTAATATTTGATACAGTAAAGTTGATAAATCCGTGTATACCGATTCGAGAAATCGGTATCTCCTGTATACAGCAGTTATATAAGTTATAACTTAGATTAGGTTAGAGTAACACACAGGTTTTTATTTCATAAATTTGCTCACATAATCAAAATCAGTTGCATCAATTAAAGTATGTCGTTGTAATTATCCGATTAAGTAATCGGTTTGAAGTAAACTTCAGAATTTATGTATGTATAATTAGTTAGATAGGTTAAGTCTCTATAGTTAATCACAAGGGCAAAATATTATGCATTAATATTGCTATGGTCACACCACTCAGTGTTAGGTGCAATAATACAAGCAGGACGTGAAAAGTATCGTGGCTGTTTCTGTCCAGTGTTTCACGTAGTGGTCTGTTTTATAGTTTTAGGGACATTTACCCGCGACCCCAGGTACCTGTGGTAAGAGATATCTCCATAGCTCGCTGGCGATGACCGAGCACCTTGAACTGCGGCAGCGACACCTCACTCGACACGCCCACAGAGTTAGGGCCCTCGTTCCACTTGTATCGGATGTCCCTCATGGTGTAGCCGACTGTGCGCAGCGGATACATAAATGAAATAGCCCCAGGCCCATCGCAATGGGTTTTGCGACTCGAGTCGACACTCGGTCGGGGTTAGAGCGGGGGAGTCGCGAGCCAAATTCGCGCGTCTTGTCGTGCGATTGTTGTGTCAAGTTTAGCGTGTGTGCTAGTGTCGCGGTATCGATCGTCTGCACACGAGCTGAGGGAGACGGGGTCGGTGGCGGAGCGATGGAACAGTGCTGGGACAGCAGGCGTTGCGATTGGTTACCTGTGGTGAGTGTTACAACAGTGGCGCGTTGCCGGTGGCCAAGTACACGAAACTGCGGCAGTTGCACCTCGTTGCTCATACCGACGCTTGATAATCCGTCTTTCCAGTGGTACCGAATGTCTCTCATTGTGTACCCGACTCCGGAGACATGCCAAACACACAAAACGCTATCACTTACGCTGCGAAGCATCGCGTATCCCTCATCCACACGGCCGCGGCTGTGACGAGGAAATGACTCGCGGGCGCAAATGGCGAGATAACGGAGTAGGTCCGAGCATTAGGTTTAAACTTATATCAACACGCATGCTCGGATCAACTCCAAATGGATGATAGAAAAATATAAATTCACTAATTCAACATACTAAGGTGATAACAGGCGGAAGTAACAGGAAACGAATAATGATCAGAAGTAAAAGTTATTCTATAATAAAGTACGGTAAGTGTTTGAAATTAAAATGATAATAGTATAGTGCATCATCATATGATGTATGAGTAGATGAGCAAGCGTAGGTCATGCAGAGCAGCAGGTCGGGTGTGGTGCTTTGCGGGCGAAGCGACGCGATCTGCGTGCGTGGGTGTGTAGGAGCGCCAGACACCGGAGGCCGCGCGGCGCGTGTTACACGCTCCGTCTGGTCGTTGGTTGTGCAGACCCCAAGGGCGCGGGTGCCACCGTCCCCCGCCTCCTTCGGCCCGCTCAGCTGTCGCAGCGTCGATGTCTCAATATCATTTCTTTCGCTTTATGCTTGTGAGAACAAGGCTTACTATTTTACGAGTCTGCCTTCTGCGGATGCTGTATGCGAGAAGGAGACGTTCCCACATATGAGAACACGAGGGAAATCACAGCACGTGTCGACGATTAATTTGTACGCTTGTGCTGAGAGGATATATCCCTGAGTAGCATCTGTGATACAAGAAAGTGGTCACAACACAATAACATTAAGGCTAGTGATAAATTTGCATTGTGGAAAAGATTTAAATTAATGATTGCTTTAGGTGAGCACGATACACACGCATAGTTTTAAAATACAACCATTTGAATTATTTTTCTATCATCGATCAGTAATTACCCAATGAACGAATTGTCTCGCCCTAAATAGTAAGTGGAAGTAAATTTTCTCGAATTAAATGTAATCAATCATTGTAAAGGTAAAATTAAAGTTGTAAAGTTAAAAAATGAGAAAAAAAATACGCGAATATTTTGCACGTCATGAAGCGTGTATTTACCAAATTGATTATTACCACAATTACTAATTACATTTTGTAGCTTTCCTTAAGTGTATAAAGTGTTAAACGCATAATAATGTATTTCTTATAATCAGTTTTCCGTATTGGATCTGTGTCATTGACTGTTTTGAGAACACCACACAATAAGGGATAGTGTAAAGTACTTACAACTCTCGATCTCTATGTGGCACAACTGCCGGTCCATTGGAAAGTATTGCAGGTTCATGGGACATGATGCTGTGATTGTTAATCTGGAAAAAATCATCGGTGACAACTTTATATAGACCTATATTTTAGAGGAGAATACATAATGAGGTATCTACTGTAATTGGTACTTCTTATATGGATGAGAGCTGAACAATTTTAAAATTGTGTTTGTATACTTTACCTGATACTTCTAGTAATTGAGCCTGAATAATGGATACGTATGAATTCGTTGCTAGTGGTGGCTATGTGGAAATAAGATTGCTTCTCATTAACAAAGAACGTATCTGGCACCCATATGTTCTTAATGAACTCGGAACCAACTGACAATGTTTCAACGCCTGGCCTTTTTTTGTACGCTAGTCGCGGATCCGTCCAAAACTGTCTGAAGTAAAAATCCAACGTGAAATCCTGAAGAGAAAAATGGCTATTTTTATTTTTATTGATTACAGTGCAGTCAATGTGAATATATCAATTTGTGAAGCGAACGGAAAATGACAATGAAAGTAAAATTTGAAATGAATTGGATAATGTAATTTTCTAAAGTCGAAATTATGTTCAACTTCAAGTTACTCTTTGTAATTTAATCAAAATAGGATTATTCAATTGAGTGAAATATCACTTATGGGTAAATTCAACTATAACTTAGTAAACATCTAACATATGCATGCTTTGTTTAAAAAAAAATTGAATTTATGTATTGTTGGATACATATTTCGACAGTTGACGAAAAAACTAAAATATAAGAGTTAGGTACAACATTAGATTTAAGTACAGTAGGACCGACGCTAGGCTCTGGCAACTTCTGATAGTCACTTTGAGTATACAATATACATATAGACACTGTACTACATCCAATAGACATATTGAGCGGTAAGCTTAAACAAATAAAATGTGCACACAGTGTAATTGTGACATGAAGCCTAGAGAACACAGGTGAGGTCTAAGAATGAACAGGTAGGTAGGTGCTCTAAGTGACAGGAACGGGCGAGGTGAGTGGGTGGCGGCGCAGGCGGGCACCCACGGCTCGATAGAGGAAATTCTCTTATATTGAAGCTATCAAGCCGGCACGTATACAAGTTGCCACGAATAGTTTGGACCATGTTTATGGAACAAATTAACTTCATTAATGTGCTCGAATCGCGAATGTGCGACTTGTAAAACACAACCTCCCCCCCTAGGGCCATGGGTCACGTCTCGCTGTGACCTTCCCAACCTTGATTTGGTTTCCACTTCGGGGTCCTTCACCCAAACATATGCCTATCGAACTCTGCCAGCTTCTCAACATTGGGACACCGACATGTTTCCTATAATCAATTATTATAGGATAAATCAAGAATAATAACACTGAAACAAAAACGTAAGCATAGGAACTCAATAGGTTCACAGCGAAAAAAATGACGTTCAGTTTCGTGGGCTCCATCAAATTAAAGCGACAGTACTAAATAAGTTAAACCTAAATCTTTACGTCACCTTATGTGTTAATAAGGATCACGTATTTTTTTATTTCGTGAACCTTCCGGTACATTGAACCCATTAAGTTTAATTGATAGACAATACATTGATTTTTTGGTACATTCTTTCGGTGTTCCAATTTACTGGAGAGCGTAGAAAGATAACGATTATATTGGCAAATATATAAGTAGATACACATATACGTACAAACACAACAAACTACAAAATAAGTCACGATAAGAATTTTTACAGTCGTCGCAAATCCATAGAGCTTAGAAAACAGCACAGTGATAATTAATAAATTCACAAAATGCTGACTTCGTTTCTTTTTTAAGATCATTATGTGATCTGAATATATTATATTCCAAATGTTAGAGATGAATATTTACGCACGATGTCTAGTGATGAGAGTCTGTTGATTTCGGTGCGAAATTCTAATTGTTATAAACTCTAAAAACATTATTATGTTCTTAGAGTTTATTCATTCTTTCTTAGAATAATAATAATATTAAATCTATAGACCAAAATTCAAGGATGTTTTATAAAAGCTACTTTTTTGAACCGGGGAATGAAGTTCTGTTACGGTTTTCATATGTTACGTTTTATATCCCGGAAAAGTCAATAAAAATCAGAAGCATACGAATCATACCATCAAATATAGGTAATCAATCCCTACATTGATATCATTTATTTTCGTTACAATTTACCATATCAAATGCCTTAGGAAATTTTCCTCTGGATCCCTCTTAAAAAATATGGAAACATTACGTTTTGTTACGAAACATTCTAATGCAATGCAATACGCAATAATGCAATGCGGATTACAGACAGAACAAACTTTTCGGAAACATTATGTAGAACAGACGTCATCACTGCATTTCCATATAGCAGCAACTTTGGAGTTACGAGTACTGCTGGAAGTAATAACTGCTTTTCTTATTATGATGTCTTAATTTATTTTTGGGATATACATGAGAATACAGGGACACATAATAAGAAAGCAAGTGGGCGGGCGAAGGGCGAATTTGCTCCACCAAAACGCGAACATGCTCGCAGCCTCGTGTCTGGGGCTGCTCGGTCGCCGCGGCACAGAGCGCGCGACCGGAGCGACCGAGACAAGCGTGAGCTGACAGGGGCGAGTACCATGAGCACTTCGGAGACGGAGCTGATAGAGAGCACATACATGGTGACGCCCACCTCCACTGGCGGACCTGCAATCAAGCCCAATTGTGAGTCGCGTGCGCGCCTCGCGCCGTGAAAACCAAACCAGAGGACGGTGACATGCCCCATCGCCAGTGACGGGCAAGGCGGGGGGGACGCGAGGGGCGCGGGGTGCGCACGGGTGCTGGGCATTCACAGCAAGCGCACGCGTAGCAATGGGCGTCGTCGTACGGGCAGCAAGCGCCTTCAGCTGCGCACCCGCCAGCGCCACGTGACTTCGATAGATGCTACAACACGCGCCCGATATAGCATAACAAAAAGTGTCGCATTGCTACGCGCCTAGTGATTAAGTATTTATTGCGATCGAACCGTGGACACGGGTGCTACGATGAACGGTTTGATGCTGGTGATTGTACTAAAGGACGAAATCTTGCTATGTATGCGCTGTGTCATTAAAGATTGCTTTGAAAGAATACCATTTTCACTTCAGACAGAGAGCTGATGGAGAGCACGTACATGGTAACCCCCACTTCCACGGGTGGTCCTGAAAACGACATAATATACAACACATGACAAGTGTTAAATACGTACTCATTCTCTGAGTTTATAGACGTCAGACGCTCTGCACCTTTTTTGTACCTAAATATATACGCGGATGACACAGCTGACAAAATTTCAAATAATGAATTATAATGTACCGCGACTCTTGTATGTAGGCTGACCCAATTCCCATATTATGTTCATCTTAAAATTGAGGATTATGTAATGAGTGGACAAAAGCAAAAATGTTCTTTGTATAGTACTGGTAAGTATCCCAACTAAAATAGGCTATATATACTCAGCATTGCAGTATGATAGTGAATGAGGACAAAAATAAAATTTAACGTCCTTTACGTTTATGTGTTCTTTTATTTTTCAAATATTTTAAATTTATATACAAAGATTTTTTTGCTTGTTACTTCTATTGGAAATTTTATATAGTGTTCTGTGTATTCCCTTTTTTTGCTTACAATTCGAGTGTTACAATATACTTAAATGACAGTCTAATATTAGGTAAAAAGTCTGCAATTTTATCTGAAAACGCCGGGAGCGTACGGATACGTTTATTGCGTGGGCTAGCTACTAGTGTACTTTTTTCTAATAAATTTGTTTCATCCATTATCCTCTGCTACTTATCCTTGAATAACTACAAACACATATTAAAAACCCTATTCTTATATAATTATGTACGTATAGTAGAGTCCTCATAACTATGTCTTTGTTTTGGCATGAAAAATGTATCTAGTAACTAAATTTGAATACATTCTGTTTTAAAAAGTAAATATCAACTCTACCTACATAGGTTTAGTTTACATTTTCATCCAAATATTTTGTTAAATAAAACATTTAGTGATAGATTCAACTAAATATCATAGTCCAACTAAATGACGGTAAATATAATAAATAATAAATAAAATAATATTAGCTGTCAATTTCACTGAAATTTGGATAAAGTAAGGATTTGATATCATGATTTAAAACTTCTATGGGTATAAAATAGTTGATAGATATGGATGGAATTCTGAATAGTAATGGTGAGATTTTGCAAATCAAATTGGATTTTCGAATACTATAATATAATTATCTCACCTCAACATTCAGAAACAGACAAACAGAAACCCTTATATCAATTATTCATAGTTAAAAAATAATCTTTAATGTGTAGTATACCCATTTTACATTAATGTTTGGAATATTAAACCTTACACTTCCCTGTTATTTAGAGTTAATGTACAAACAGAGTTATATAAAGAGCCATTAGCTTTTAACGGTTGGCTTATGAACAGGAATTTTTAACGAAAAAAAATTTTTCTCCAAACAAAATGTTTACCATCTAAAATGTAGCGCTGGTTCTATTTCGTTCCTGTTCTTTTTTTTTTAATTTAATTTATTTAAATTAATTACATAGATCGTTCTTTAATTAACACCTTAAGTGGAAAATTACTTTTTAATTATTATATTAGAGAAAAAACATTATCACAATGCAATTGAAATATAGACATTAACGCTTTGGACCTACAATTAGCTTGTATTGAAATTTACAATGGTTCTTAACGAAAATAAATCTCATGGCTGTACTAACCTCCATAGTTTGGCCTTACTCTTTTGTCGTAACTTATACTAAAGGAATCCAAAATAGCGGATATATTGACATCGCCGAACATGCCACCCCCACCGGCACCCCTGTGAAGAGAAAAAGTTCGGTTATTTGCTTGACATAACAGTTTTACGAACTTTTAAAAAGTACCCTTATTTTAAGATGCATTGCTGTAAATAGAGTCCACAACCTATATTTCGGGAGTATATGATATGTTTACTGGAGATTAGGGTTACCAAATTTAGAAAAGTTGAGACAAAGGTGAGAGATCATCCAATTTAGACTACCTAATAATTTGTCATTTTGCATTACAGTAACTTAAAAAATGCTCTGTAAAATGTTTATGCTTTTGTTTTTATAATTTATTCATATTAAGTTGCTTTGTATAATTTTTTAGTACGTTATGCCATATTATATTTTTAATATTTTGACTTGACTTACTTTTTTACATTTATGATAACAAGTGACAAGATGAACAAGTCGTACGCCTGGTGGTAAGCGACACGCCTGTCCATAACAGTTGAAATGCCACTCAGAGCTTTAAATCGCAAAGATCTGAGAGGCACAGCCATTGAGACATAAGTTGAGAAGTCCCATGTGCATGTAATTTCACCAACACCCTTACCCTTCAAAACTGGATCGCAGTAATGCTCACATTACTGCTTGGCGGCAGAAATAGGTTAGGTGGCAATACTTCCTTGTACAAATTCTTTCACAAGGAGCTCTACTACTACGAAACTGATATTATGCTATATACCACCACAGGACTGTTAGGCTGAAGACCCGCTTCAGAAATAGAAATAAAGCTCCAGTATAACTCTTAAAACCGATTCTAATTTATTGCTTGTATCAATAATTTTAAAAACGTGGTTGCTTATACAGACAGTTTCAATAGCATTTATAACAAACATGGTTTTGTCAACTCACTATGGAAAAGTAGTAAAAACTGACAATTTATTCTAAGATCCAAAAATATATAACTGAAATGGATCTTAAGATTGTTATTTTTTTTAAATTCCGCATACCTACACGTTATACAATCAATATCTTTTATAATTACGTATATATTATACTTTGGCCGGGCAGCTGCACTTATCGAAGATTTTCGTACCTTCTGACAGTCATCAAATGAGAGGAGAAAAATTCACATGTGGTGGCCATCCTGGAAAATGGCGAACCAAAATTTCAATCGTACAGATTCTTATTGTACGCCTCTGTACACAACCGCGTGCCAAATTTCAGCCGGATCGGACCACTTTTTTTTCGGACCTCCATTTTGAATATGCCATCTCGAAAAAATTAGTCACCGACATTTGGCCCCAGCTACCCTCTATGACATTTGGTCGAGCATCTTTCACCTATCTCTGATAGTTTTCGAGATTTAAGGCTGTGAATTTTGTAAGACGGCCATCCTGTTTTTCGAATTTCGAATTTTTTTCACTTGCGGTAGAGACTATCCAAGATGGCGGTCAATTTTGGTTCAGCGACCCTTCTGGTAGGTAACATACCTTGGCCGCACAGCTATCTAGCCCAGTTTTCGAAGGCTTTGGCTTTTTCTGGTACTCACCGGACTCATCCGGCCACGTCACCCGTACATCATTTCGACTCTCTACGACTCCTTCTGGGCGACCCATTATGTCGATGGCTTAATCAGTCAGTCGGCTTTTCAGTCAATCAGTCACTGGTAATAAGCTTTATATAGTACACCCTTACCTATTTCTGTTGCCAAGCAGTAATGTGCGCATCACTGCGTTCCGGTTTTGAAGGGTAAGGGTGCTGGTGAAATTACAGGCTCTCGGGACTTGTCAACTTATGTCTCAGGGTGATGGACGTAGTAGAAGTGTCCATCAGATCGTTGCGATTTAAAGTTCTGGGTGTCACTGCTACTGCTATAGACATCAGTGCCACTCTTTGTATCATAAAAAAAATCGACTTCATTATTACATATTTTAGCATAGATTTCAACTTTTTCTAAAGTGTTTATGAGGTTAAGTATAAAGTTTTCAATGTAGTTTTGTATTTCCTGGCGTTATTTGATCGCTACCATAAATTCTTGTGTTTAAATTAATGTTGAAATCATTTTATAAACACATTTAACTCAAATTATTACCACCAAAATTACAAATGTGAAATGTAATGTTGAAATATACAGAACATAATAAGTTATAATAAATTAATAATGTTGTCAAGTGGGATCATGAATAATTGATCTTAAACCGATGCTTCCGGTTACTAAATTGAATTGTCAGCATGAAAATTACATGACGAATATTAAGCTTTGCTATACCTGCATTGTTAAGTTGTAATACATTCTATCATCTATATAGGTATGACAACCGAAGGTATAACATCTACAAATAGCACTAGTCTGAATAATTTTATCAAAGCCCCCATCCACATTCCCCTTTTCGCAAGAACAAATCTCTACATAATTTAGTTCATATTACGTAATCAAATCGATACGGATATGCCGAAAAGGACCGTTGTGGAATTTCCTATCCAGTCTCGCATGTCCTTATTACAACCTTATTGCTTTCTCCCTCAGAATACAAAATTCAAATGAACGTGAAAGGAGCAAATCAACCGTAGTACAGTTGATGTAGTTAGTGATTGGTTTAACGGTTTTCCAAAGATACCTATTTAACAAATATAAGTATTCAAGATTGTGCACTTATTGTGCACCACTGACACGTTGCGGTGCACTGTCTTGTCTGCTCTATGTGTTAATGTGGCAACCTGCTACGTAAATTACACTGCAAATGCATTTAGCTACCACGTTGTTCTCAGCACATCTTCGCTACGGGTCTAAAATTACGTAGCTTGCTCATATAATACGCACTGTATATTTATAAGTATATTGTATCGCGAGACAGCAGGAAACGAACTGAGGCATCCAACTGTATCAGTTTCACCGCAATAGAACGGCATTATTATGCACTATGGAGATAATATTTAACTGACGCAGTGCTCGAATGGACTTTCATTCATAATGTAGAATACTATAGCGGCGTGGGAATGAGCTCTGTACATTTAAACTGACAATGGTACAGTTACTTTGTGTACATATATACGATTAATATAAACCAGATACTGCGTTCGGCCGCTGCCCGTGCATCAACTTACCGTTATATTTATTGAGCTTAATTGTTACAAGTTGGTAATGAAAATTTTTTTTCGGATGTAAATCGCGTATATTTGTTTTGTCTAACATTTTGGTTGGTTTGAAAAAACAAATATGTATTAAACAAAAGATATGAGGACGAGCGCGAAAACTAACGTGTACAAGAGTGTGTTTAAGAGTAAGGATTTGTTTTTACTAGCAATATAGCTCCTTGTGAAAGAGATCGTCCAGGGAAGTACTGCTACCTTACCTATTTCTGCTGCCAAGCAGTCATGTCAGCATTACTGTGTTCTGGTTTTGATATTATTGTACAAAAAAATATTATTACAAAAAAAAAGATTTTTTTTTAATGATACCAAGTATCGGGATGAACACGTCGGGCACCTGGTGGTAAACGATTCGCCTATCCATAGCAGTAGCAGTGCCACTCAAAGCTTTAAATCGCAAAGATCGAAGGGGCACTGCCACGGCGCCCGTCACCCTGATGTATAAGTTAACAAATCCCATGTGCCTGTAATTTCACCAGCACCCTCACTCTTCAAAACCGGGACGCAGTAATGCTCACACTGCTTGACGGCATAAATATGCAAGGTGGCAGTACTTCCCTGGACGAACTCTGTCACAAGGAGCTCTACTATAACTAAAAGGGTGTTGGGACAACCCCAAGCCACACGAACCCTTCCAATTTCGTACGAAATATTAATAAATATAATCAAAGACAAAACTCTTTTAAACGGTTTACGTAGATCGCTTTTCCGATACCAGATTATGTTAATAAACAAGTAATAATCCAAATCTTCCCATCGGTTAATAAAAGAACGGTTTGTAACATCAGAATTGTCCATTACGATCGCAGCGAACAGCGACGGTTTTTTACAAATTCATCGAGGCTTATCGCCTCCGGCAAGTTTGATTTCAAACTTTCGCATAGTGCGGAAGGAAGCCTTTGTGTATCTTCGTAGTTTAAGAAAAGTTACTTCGGATGTTCGCTGCACGAAAATTTCATTTACTTAGATATAATAAAATAATACACTAAGAACAGGACAGTAGGACAGTCCCTTGGTATTATTAAAATTAAAAGAACACAAATATCTAATTTTAGTTAAAAAAAACCTGAGTAATGGACGAAGATATTTTTCATAACGAGTTTACGTAATTTATTTAACAGAAACAAGTACAAGTTACGAAATACAAATTGTATAGGTGCTTAATACATTTTACTTAAAGTAACAATTCAGTGAAAAAAAAAAAGAAAAAATTGTGGTGTTTTCAAAGCGATGGTGCTTCAGTTGCTTTCGACGGAATACTCGAGTGTGAGAGTGCTCGGAGCTTCCCAATTAATATTTTTAACGCTTCATTTAAAAATCAAAGGAAAATAAGTAAACAGTGGTAAGAGCATTGAAGTGCTAACCCTGAAATGAATATTGAGTTTCGTTTCAGAAACATCTTTATGAAATGTAGAATAGAATAAATAATGTTGATTTAAAGAATAACATTTTCTATGTGACGTCAAAGTAGTTTTGGCAGACAATACTGTAATAAAAATTAATATAATTTTGCTTTTAGGTCATGGAACAGACAAGAATATAAAGTATGTACCTATCATTCATCATTATCATCTCATTTATACATCCCACTACCAGGCGCGGGTCTCCTTTCAGGCGAGGGTTTAGGCCATAGTCCGCCACGCTGGCCCAATGCGAGTTGGTGACTTGAAACGTTTTCCAAGAGTTGAGAACCTTCTTCGACGTGCAGGTTTCGTCGCGATGTTTTCTCAAGGCAAATTTCAAATGAAATGCCACGTGCCTGTCCACCGTACTAACTATGGAAAAAATTAAACGCAATCACGTATAGGATACACTTACAATACATATTTTGCAGACTTAGACCCTTTTAAATTAAATAAGACTCGTTACAAATTCATGTTAATTAAGAAATTAGAGGAAAATCTATCATAACTATAAT